ATTTATATTATTAAAAAATAATATTTCGTTAATATTAAAATAATCACAATCAATACTTATTATTGTTCGTAAAATAACAATTTTATTAAGTAAGAGGTTACAACTAATTTGCGCAGATTTTAAATTTTTTTAGTTAAAACCTGGAACTCGATTGCGCACAAAATATTGTGAAATACTATTCTTTAACACCATTATGTGTTATATGTGTTTAAGCATAGTTACATATTATTATATACCTATACACATGCACATTATGATATTAACGATAATAAAAGATTTATAGTTAAAACCAAATTTTATATCGCAATATAATATATTATAATCGTTATATTTTCATAAACTTTATCAATATTTACTACCCATCCATAAACTAATACTATTCTAATAAAATCGCAATATGTGGACTAAGTATACAGATAAAGAAATTGACCAATTTAATTACTTAGAGCAACTTATTGCTGCTTTTAAGGTAATCAACTTATAGTTAAGTAACTTAAAATAAATATAAAAAAATGACAAAATCAAAAAACCGCATTCTTATCGAAATTTTTTACCGTCATTAATTACACATATTTTTAACACATTTTAATCACACCAGTGAAGTTAAATTATTCACTGACAATACTAAATCTGTATAGGTGAGAATGGAATGTGTGCACAAACGAGTGGCTGCATTAGAAATTATCTGTGCGAAAACGAGTTGTAAGAATGTGCGCGAATAAGTTGTAATTTTAGTATAAGTGCGCAAACCATGTCCAAGTATGCAAAATATATAATAAAACCCACACTTGTACTTTTTTTAAGAATTCCGACAAATACAACAAAATATTTAAAGTATATACATTATTACTATCATCATTATTTATTACCATTTTATGTTGATGTCGAATGTTGAAAGTGAAGAAGTTAAGTTGAGGCCCAAGTATATTTCCGTATTGAACTGATAGATTCAAAATACAATAATTAATTAAAATACATTTTGAAACATCGAAATTAAAAATGGATTTTTATAATATTTGACACAAAAGAAAAATGTCTTGACTTGAGAAACCTGGTACAACAACCTGTGAGCGTTTTAGGATCAACTTACGTGTACAAATATTTTTTTTAAAAATTAAATTCACCAAATACAAATAGTACTCTAACAGACGAAAACCTACAAAATCAAAAAATCAATGTTCAAATACACATATTAATGTAGATTTGTAAAAACTAAGTGAAATAGTTGAGAAACAAACTATTTCTCATTTACAAAATAAATTAAATATTTATGTATAATAAATTCATAATGATCATTTTTATATTATCTATGAATCTATGTTTATATATATATATATATATATAATTTTGTTTGTGACAATCAGGATAATAAAGTGTTTCTTAGATGGTTTTCAAGATCATTTTGTTTGGCCACCCCTGTCTTGAACCATTTATCGTATACACTACGTAAAGGCTTGACGTATATAACAAATATATTTTTGGTTATTGAGTCTCGGACCGTTTAAGTGAGTTTCGAGGATGAGATCTTTTTAACCTAGACCAAATCGTACCTTTCTCAATTGACTTTGATAACGAGTACTGGATGAGAAAATAAGTACAGAAACGTCTTGCAACTTAACAAAAGTGTTTTCTCGCCACAAACGTTTCGATTACACACACTAGAGATTTGATACTCCTAAAATATTTAAAAATAGAATTGGAACATAAAAATTTTGTTTAAAACAAAAATGGATTATAGTAAACTTCTAATAAAAATTAAACAATCAAAAATTGTCATTAGCCGTGATACCCCGCGATTGTTCGATCACCTTTGCTATTGCCTTATATTAGTTTTAAAATTTAGATGACTGGCCATTCGTTTATTTCTGCCTTGTATAAAATAATAGTTTATGGTTATAATATTTTGTAAACATTCATATGTAGATCATTACAACACATTGTACAAGCCGAGTAACGTACTCTTTTAATTTCAAAAATCACACCATTCCCCATATAATGATCTGGAATCGCATCTAGCAAGTTTACGCGCATAATTGTTTGTCAGATAATCTATTTATTATTTTCTCCAGGCGTGGAGTGTTCTTATTTGTGGCACTAAGGAGTGCATAATTTTAATATGGCTTCGCGCGCGCCTTACATAAAACTCCTTAACACACATCGTTTAGCTTAATAAAACCTCGTGATTAATAGCATTTATCTTCCATAGACCGACATTCAGTCCCTTGTCACCTCGTGTCCCCGTTAAAGCATTTAGGTCGAAAACATTGGCTTTTAACCTACATATATACACACCACTTGATATGTAGCGATAAATCGCTTCACGCGTGTGTTTTTCCATTTTATAAGAGTGGATAGTGGGTTTTCGTGATGGAAAATAAAATACAATCAAGTAAATTGCGACGGTATTTTCTCTCTCTTTTTTTAGGTAATTTAATTACATATTTGATTCGTTAAAACAATAGGTTGCATAAAATGCAGAAACATGGATAAATTAGTGCTAGTAAATGGCAATATCCGTGTAAATTATAACCTCAGATTGGACTTTGCTAAAATCGATAATAAACAACCCACTATCATATTCCAGAAAAATTGTATTTATTATTTTGTAAAAGCAGTAAATGCGCACATTATATTATTAAACATATTTTATCGTGCACGTCCATATAATATTGTAGGAATTGTTATGAATACCTAACCTTGTTTATGGGAGAGAAAATGTTAATCTATGAATACATTATCAAATAAATTTGTGTTGTTTTCATTCAATTAGATTTGGAATGGCTATTAAATTTTAACGACAGTTTTCGTACACAGATTTCAGCAAGGTTAACATTAACTATATATGCGCAATGTATTCCATCCAATTGTTGTCGTATATTTTCTGTTACTTATAATGTTAATGGTACATTGTACGCATCTCGTGATCGATTTTGTTCTTAAATGATTCAGGAAGTAAAAGCGATTTGTTTGTGTATAAGTTTTTAATAATGTTAATAAAACGAATGGTTATTTTATTTAATATATCGATTACCTGAATATTATACGTTTTAATAATAGCAGCAAAATGCGTGATCATCAAAATAATTTATTTCCCAAATGTATATACGGAGCTGTTATATGGAGGGGAACACAAAGCTAAATGTTTAACTTTATAGTTTCAGTTTTGTGCGGATTACGAGAAAAAAACAATAGGCAATGGAAATATGACTGAGGGATTGCTATTGGACGGGTAAAGTGGAATAAAAAAAAATTTGTGTATAGTGGGAAATGTGGTGGGTGAAAAGAAAGTAAACAATAGAGTTATTAGAGAGAAAACCAAAATATCATTTGCATGACAATGACGATAAAAATATTTATTTTCCCGTGACTTAAAATGCTCATATATATATATATATATATATATATGTGTGTGTGTGTATGTGTCTGTGTGTATCTGTGTGTGTGTGTACGAATATGATAATTAAATAAAGTATTGGATTATTTGATTTTTTTAATAAACGAATTGTATGTATGTGAAATCGTATTAATATAGTTTTAAATAAAGTTAACACAAAATATATACTACCTAGCGAATAATATTTGTCAACCATAAATAATATTTGTTCATATTTTAACTGTTGGGAATCAAAATTAATTTAAATTGTAAACGCATACAATACCATATATTTAATTTAATGTTATAAATGATTACATTTCATTTCAAATATAAAAATAATTAAGTGAAGTATTCTAAAAAAAGTTTTAAAAAATATTTCAACTTTAAGATTAAGATAAAATAATAAGAATGTAACACATTTCCTAATGTAAACCACGTTATAATTTATTTACTAAATAATTTATTTCATTCTATTGTAAGTATATTGTAGTTCCAACTCCAAATTACTTTCCCTTTAAAAAACGAATAAAAATATGGTTGATTTATTATTAAATAAAAATTCTTCAAATATAAACGTCAAACATATATTTTATTTCTTCTTCTTATCCTCGTTTTACTGTAATAATCCAGATAAATTCAATCAGAATAAGTTTCAAGATCACTTTTTGTCGTCAGCTTAGAAATTTGATAAACAAAAACAATAATATTAATTTGATCTTCCGAAAATCTTTAATTGGTCGTATTTAGTAAATATAATAGCCACAATTTCACAATACAATTCCAAGACTTTAATGATTCATATTCTACTTTCCATGATATAATAGTTTATTTTAAATTAAATACCTACATACCTATTTCACTAAAAATAAAATATTTGACAACATTATGTTGATGTCTTTCAAAACGGAAACAAATAATAATCAAGAATCGTAAACGTAAACGAATTAATATTCATATTAAAATGTTTAAAAATATTGTTTTTTTTCGCTGGATGACTGTATCCACATAAACAATTGTTATGTGATTTGGGACCGTACATATGCATTGTCAATGATTAAACGTAAATTTTTATTAACAATAGAGAAAAATCTACAATAGGATTTATCATTTGTTCGTATATCATTATACACAGACAGAACGATTATAGAATCCAGATTCATACATTATATTAAATATTATTATATGATCGTTAAAAAACGAAGTCCTATTTCGGATTATCTTCTGTCATACGGTAAATGCTGTGAAGCGAATACGTACAGTGTTGTGGAAGTATTGAAATATAAATGTATTAAAAAATGAATATTTATAAAATGTCGGAAAACTGCGTAGTATTACATGTATGAATATAATATACATATCTATATATGTATGTACCAACACAAAAGAAAGATTCGCGGGAAAATCGTTTAATTCTGATGGCAGCATTGAAAAGATGTACGGCGATGAGAATGTGTAGAACAAAAAAAACCTTGTTGTCGACTGCCGTCGAAAAGTTTTCAATATTCAAAGGACGTAAATGCGGCGCGGCGACGGGTCGTAGCAGGGTATATGCGTAGACAGAGTTCGAGAAAAGTATCTCCAACGGCGGTGAAAACAATTAATTTCATCCGTTTTTATTTTGCAGGCAATCGGAGGGAAAAGTCAACGAAAAAATCGTCGTCGAGCGGTCCGTTGGCTGGGCCAGTGCCACATATGCCACCACCGCCTACCCAACAGCAGTTTAACGGGCATCACAGGGCCGCCATCATGGACGTTGCTCCCAGATCCAGGAAACAACAGATCGGTGTGTATATAAACGATTTTTTTTTATTTTTTTTTATTTCATATAAAAAAAGCGGTTTTTTTTAAATTCCAAGGGTGAAAAACTAAATACAGATGATTGTGTGGGTTTATATATTTATAAAAACGTATATTTATTTGAACTTGTCCCACACTATTTTATCGAATTCGCAGACCAATTGCGGGCTGCAGTGTATCTTAGCACAAGCATGGAGAATAATTACCATCGATTAGCGTCCAGCGACAGATAAACAACTGCAACTGTGAAGACAGGGAAAGGAGAAAGCGTTTTTGATATTTTTTTCCTCCCGAAAAGTGCTCAAATGGTTTCGGAACCAAGGTTATTGTGTCTATATGTGTGTGTTTTTGCAAAATGAGGAACGAAGTACGATAAGAATTTAATTTGCGACTATCGTGCAGTGGCGTACCTATGCCTTTCTTACGGGGGGGGCAAAATACATTTTCACCACTCTTAAAATATAAAATTTCTTAAAAAAATTAACATCATGCTACAACGATTTTATTAATATATTGAGCTCTTTTATATTTCTAAAATATAACGTTTTATTATACAATATTAAAATTTTTTGTTCATATAAATAAAATATAATGCATGTTATATATTTATAACACAAAGTCCAACTTCCGGTTTTTTCATACAAGAAAATCTTTTAATAATTTCGTCCACTGGTATACTTATATCCTGGTAAATATGCAACAGTGCAAGCCCGCATAAGCGTTCACACTTCTGCTTACACAGCCAATTACTTAGATTACTTTGCTTGTTCATAACGAATAATATTATTAACTACTACATACTAACACTTGGGAATTCGGATATAATATTTAATTATTATTTTGTAACTGAAAATCAATGATAAGAGGCAACGGATAATAATATTATCTATAAATCTTGATGGTCAGAGGGGGGTCGGCGTAGCCACAATTTAAACCGTAACGACCGGCCGTCGTGATAGACAAGAACATAGCAGCTGTCTCGCAGTAGCGTTGACAACATCAAAATAATAAATACAATAAATCAACATCATAATGATAGGAATAAATTGAAAAAATAATAATAGAGATAAGAGAAAAAAATATTGTGAGCAAGCTGCCATATAATTATCAACTAATTCGAAAAAAAAAAATTTCATAATAATATTGTAAAAACATAAAAACAAATAACAGTGTACACATATTATTCTACGGCCACGGGGGGGGGGGGCGGCGCCCCCCCCCCCCCCCCCACAGGTACGCCACTGCTATCGCGATGGAATTGATAAGTATTATTAACGTGGTACACCCTCGCGTGCATCATTTTAATTATTCCCATATCGAATAACTTAAAATCAGAGCTTGGATTCTATAGTACTTGGTAATTATAGTTATAGAATACCGATAAAAATAACAGCTAATGAGCTATGAATTTGTTTTATGCAATATGAGAATTTAAAATTTTACAATATTCTTAATTTAATTTTTAATTTTTTTTGTTTTATTGTGTTGTTTTTGTAGTTTATTATTATTATTTTTACTTTGTACTCATATGCATTAAATTTGATTTACTTTTTATTTTTCATAAGCCTCATAATATAAATTTTTGCATTCATTGTAACTAAAAAAAATAATTATTATTAAGACTTAAAATGTTCATTGAATGCTTTTATTACCATTTTCTATAGTTTATATAATTTTCCAACGATTTATTTGAATTACTTATAGATAGTTGAAAATTGCATGTTTTCGTCACTCTTTTCGAAAATGTCGATAAAATAATTTTGTTCTAGAGGAATGTCTTGAAAAAATGAATTCAACGTTCCTCATAAATATCTATGACTGATTAATTAAAGTAAAAAAAAAATATATTTGAAAGTCACAAAAAGGTTTTTATAAGCTTTACAAAATAAAATGTTGATGCAATTGGATATTTTAATGAATTTCCATTTAACAATATTAGTTATTTAATTGTTATACTATTTATATTATTAGCAACAACTCAAAACATTTACAGAATACTTTTATTGGTATTCGAAAAACATTTCTTAGTTTCGAAATGTGTTGATGCAATTTAAGCAATTTAACTAAATTTTGATTTTCACAAATGTTATGTCTTTTATTTGCAAAAGTTAGAACATTTTAAGTTTAACCTACTTTATTAAGAAATTTATTTCTATTACAATATCAGCCATTTTTTAAATGAAAACTTATCCAACTGATTTCTTTCACTCAGATTATTCGTTTTTTGAGAACCATGGAATATTTGATTCAAGTTTAAAACACCAATACATCTATATTATTCATATAAATCACACCCAATTTAGAAATCTTGCTCTTTTTAAATTATTAACATAATATTTTAAATTTTAATTATTTTTAAATATATTGGTTTTATGTTATTCTTCGTGTTTTTAATGTATATTATACCCGTTATTAAGATAAGTTTAAATTTGTTTAGGTCATTGAATAGTGCATATTTTAATTTTCAGTACTTTACCGTAGTATAATAACCCGCAAGCACTCGGTCGAAACACGTCTAGGGTTCTGAATCTAGGGTTATTATGCGACTGCAAGGACGGTCACAGGGGTGGAAAGATCGCATTTCGAAGTCACGCATGCATACCGACTGCGGTAGAAATCCAACTACCAATGACTTTTGTCGAATAGTCGGTTAACCACGCACCAATGTGGCCGACTCCACCACCGGGAAAATAAATTAAATATTTAAAATTTCAACGTAGTAGGAATCGTTGTGTCGGTAGTATCGCTGAGGTCGTCCATCCTCACTATAATATTATTATGTCTATTACATCACATGTTATTGAATTAATTCAAAACGCATTTATATTTTACGACATATATGTAAGACGGTATAATATTAAAACAGTACGTGCATTGCGATAATTGTTGAAAATCATCCGAAAACAGTAATATTCATAGGCGTGCGAACAAGAGAGGGGTTCTGGGTGTGCACGGGCACCCCCGAAATGTTGTAATATAGACCTACGGTTCTAGTCTAAGAATAAGGGGTCCGTATTTTAACTTATGTTGCTCAAATAAATGTAATTTACTCTAAATTATCTGGTAATTAATACATGATGTTTCGTTATAGAAAAACTAAAACTAATTATTTTAAATTTTCGTGCAAAAACTTTTTTTGATAACATAACAGCTACAATTGACTACAAGAGTACAAATAATAAATAATTGAATCTATCTGAGAAGAATATACTCGTACGAAATTCAAGGAAAACATACTGTCTGATTGAGACTTTGGGACTATTATATCAAACAATATTAAATATAATTTTTTTTTTCATTTATTATAACTTAAAATGTTTCAACACACTGGGTGTTATTACAAGTATTTTGATAGTTTTAAATTTTATAAGTAACATATTTATAATATAAGTAATATTAATAATAATGATACTAAATAATTAATGTTTAGTTAAAATAATTGAGAATGTTATTGAGAGTACAATTTGACGTTCCGGGGAAAAAATATAGTTAGGGTACGCAAAAAAAAAAAATAGTAAAGGAGCTCCGGAGCTCCGTCCCCCCGCGCCCCCCCCCCCCCCAAGTCGAGCACTACTTAAGGTAGAAAAGTGTAAGTTTCTGATAACTATCCTATATGGGCGAAGGTGACGAGAGGTGTATGAATAGAAGCTAGCATTTGTTTCATGTAAATGGTCAATGATTTTATTAAAATTTTCCCGATCTGCAGGTTGTATGATGATGTATAACGGCGTTGACCTACAGTTAAAGTTATTTGGGTCAGTGATGTTGGTTAATACCTTATTGAAAGCGGAGTAGTTTTTTTATGTTCTTAACATAGATAAGTGGAACTGGAGGCCCCTTTTATCGTTCAATGCGAGGCGAGTTCACAGGATCTTCTTTGAGGTTGATTAAGGGCGTAGTTGTTGCTACGTCATTGATGTCATTAGTGGCAAGTAGGGCAAAACAGTTTGGTGTAACATAGACTTTAGTTTTTTTGTCATTTTGACTTGGCGAAATTGACGAGGATGACAAATTTCGTTTTGTGGATTTTGGTGTACGCGGCGAAGTGGTACCAGTTTTCTGAACGTTGTCCATCATAATGGTGTTATAAAATTGGAACTGTAAGTCAATATAGTGACCGTAATAAATTACTAATGAGCGCGCACAACGATAACGGAGCGAATACGAAACGATGCAGTTTACGTGTGTTAATGATGAACTTTACAACCGAACTAAATAGAAAATTAAAGTTATATTTATTTAAACATTTATTCAATTTAACTACACATTTCATTCAGACAGGTCCAGAAAGTATTGCAGGCATTCACTGCAATGCAGGTCCGCGCACGCCTGTGATAAAAATACTATTATTTGATCATTAAAATGGGGAAAAATTTAATTAAATCATTTTACATGCTGTCAACAACTCTGGTAGTCATACACAATTTGAACGCAATATTATATTGTACTACAGCACGGAAACTGCGGAAAATAAATCCCTTTAGTATTTATTATTTATATTCAACATGTACAGTAATAATAACGTATATAATATACTATATATATATATATTTGTTTCGTGTTTATCAATAGTTGTACTGTACTAATGTGATTTTTCTTTTTAAATAAATACAGCGATTTAAATCGTACGAGTACGATGTTTCTAAAATATTATTTTACTGCTACCGTAAAATATCTCTTGATTTTGGAAACGAACGCTTTGCCCCGCGAGACCAAGGAATATATTAATGTTATATTATCTATAGTACACCTACACGAATAAAAAGTTTATTAATTCCACCTTTTTGTTAGTGATACTGGGAAAGAACGTCTAAACTTTACAGTTTAATTTCCATCCCCCCCCCCCCAATTTAATAGTGATGTCTGTTTTACGAGACACCGTAATAAGCCTCTGTTCGTGGGTAGGCAATATAGAATAGAATACAAACCTAACGGTAAGACGTTATATTATTATTATTTCATTTAAGCTCGTTTAATAAAGGTACC